CGTCCTATCTGCTCACCTACGTGGAAAATTAAATACATACATCAATGAAAGACACGTAAATAAATATCACACCGTTAAAGAAAACAACAACCACCATTTTGGGAGGGGGGGGGAAGCAAAGCACTTAGAAACTGAGTTATTCTTTTCTAAAGTTTAAGGATCTTCCCTTGTCTCCGGCCCATTGTCTTTCCTGCCATCGTCTAGAAGCCAACCAGACAGATTTATAACAAGATGCTAGTCCTTTTCTACTCTACTGACAAATATGTGGCCGATCTGCCTCCAATCAATGATGGGCACGTGGGGACAGAGCAATGAGGTATTTTTAAACACCCCTTTAATGAATTCATCCAAGGACCAAGCACTTGAGGCGCAGAGGGGTGAGGGGTGAGGGGCGGGCAGAGGGAGGAGAGGGCAAGCACAGGCTCTGGTAAATAAAGAGATTTGTCATAATCTGGATTCTAAAACCCTTGCTATGAAGCATCCTGCGTGCCCCCAACAAGCTGTCAAGAGCATGAAGAGAAGCTCGCAAGCAAAGTGATATATGGCATTTGTCAGATGTTTTCAGACGTCAAGGACAAGTTCTTACATGCAAGGAAAACTAAAATTTTACCTTGAGAGTGACGTTCCTGCCTACTGTTGCTAGAAGATTTTAAATTATTGGCGTCTCATTCGATTAAAATAATCATATCAGGCAATTGAAATGAAGAGTAGATTCAGTTCCTTAGGACAAGCCAGTCCCATGGGGGAGAAAAATCAGCATGGAAAGCAATTTAGTTTGCCTTCACGTGGGGGAAAACCGGACATCTGGGCATTGGTGACACAGTCCTAGAGGAGGGTGGGGAGGGGGGATTTTCATTGAAATCAACCTGTGTTGAGCTTCGAACAGTGGAAAAGCTTTGCAATCCTGCATCTTTAGGATTTATGGCACAATGACCCAGAAATTTCACACTTGGCTTGTTAAATATCGCTTGTTCCTGCAACCGAAGCTCTCTCTCTTAAGGACTTTTCCTTGTCCGACAATTTCCTTAAATTTGAAGTGAAAAGAGACAGTGCCGAATCGTGTTGCGTAAGAGAGCAAAAGGGGCTATTGATACCGATGGACAGACCTGTCTTTTGGTTTTTAACATCCTGGCTCTTTTACTTCATTTGGGGGAAATCCAGCTTCATTCGGATTTAGAAATCGTTTCTTGTTAGAACTGAGCTTCCAATCACTCACAAGAGGCCGTCTTAGTGAACACGAAATGGCTTTTTCGTAATTCCACTAGTATCTATTTTACCCAAGGAGGCTGTTTTTATATTCTTCAAAATGAAAAATGACAGTGGCAGCAAAGCCCAAGGCATGCAATACGCAACCCCCTCTGGCCTCCAAACCCCGTGCGCGCCACTTGCCTTCCGATAAGTCCACTCGTGGGTTCTTCCTCCGACTGACCTCAAACTCAGTCCCGAGGGGAGGAGGGAGAAGGCAATCGTTATGTTTTGCTTTTGTTTGCTTGAAATAATAAATCCAGAGGTCTCCCTTGCCAGGGTTTTCCTGCTGTCAGCAGTTCTGTTTCGTTTGCTTTCTCATTCAAACTGAAACCCAAGGCCTTGTGGTTGGCTTTTGCCCTGACCCCTTGGCTCCTGGGAACTGATCAGAAGACAGATCGCTGTGGGTTCCTGACAGACATGGAGACTTAGCGGTCTTTCACCCCCCAAACATCTGTCTAAAACGTCCACCTCTACAGCAGCGAGGCACTCCAATACAACTCAGACCATAATTGACTAGCCTGTCTGCCACCAACTACTTATAATCTCTTTCCAATTTGGGTCAAAGACCTAAAACCGTAATTCTAGCCATGTCCGGGGAGCCAGAGAAAAAGAGTGCTCAACTATCAAATTAGATGTCGCTTTGCAAGAAAATACCTCTCCGGGCCTGGGAACTACCAAAGAGTCCACTGTTGACTTCTATGGCAACTGGATACTAATAATCCCCATTCCAAACAATTAGAAGCCTCAAATAACCAAAGCGTCTTGGGTATGTTTTGCAAAGGCAAAGACCAAGTGCAGAGGCTGATAATAAGAATATGCCAAAAGGCAAATCTGCAGGGTGTGTACGCCAAAGGATTGAGAGAAAGCGGGTGATCTTCTGAGCTAGACATGCCTAGTATACTCTCTGATGACAACTGACATTTCCAGATGATAACCCCAAAATTTTGCCAAGTCCTGGAATCTTCCTGGAAAGATGACTTTACATTCTACGCCATCTTCTTCTTAAATTCCATTTTCATTGGACCACCTACTTCACAGACATTGGAAGAAGCAAATGTGATGATGTATACAAATGAGCTTTGCAAGTGGCGTACTAAATAAACATTAGATGTCACTATTGCTTCTAGCTGGTAATCGGCATAAGTAGTTGACGGTAACTGTATCACCAAATGAATGGTACCCAGAATGGTCGGTTCACCATACTCTCCCATTTCCCAAACATTCTTTTTTTTTTTTTAATTTTTTTTCAACGTTTTTATTTTTATTTTTGGGACAGAGAGAGACAGAGCATGAATGGGGGAGGGGCAGAGAGAGAGGGAGACACAGAATCGGAAACAGGCTCCAGGCTCTGAGCCATCAGCCCAGAGCCCGACGCGGGGCTCGAACTCACGGACCGCGAGATCGTGACCTGGCTGAAGTCGGACGCTCAACCGACTGCGCCACCCAGGCGCCCCTCAAACATTCGGGATCAAATAGAGTTGAACTGAAAATACATGCATGGAAAACATATAATTGTGTTGCTAGTCTTGCTTCCTTCTCGGCAATGTGTTTCAAAGAAACAGCTTCAACATGGGTAGAAAGCAAAAGCTAATGAAGGCAACCGGTCTGAGAATTCCCCATGAACTTGAACTTGTGTGTTTATAAGGCACATTAATCAAAGATATCAGAAGACGCAGGAGAATCCCACCAAACCGTACGAACAATTTACCAATCAATGTCGTTGATTGGAGGCAGCATTCTAAAAGCCAGCTCTCAAACTATTTTTGTTTGTATCTCCGAGGAGTGCCTAGCATGTGGGGTCTACCCAGGAGATGTTCCGGGAAGGAAAGGTAGAAGAAAGGAAGAGACAAAGACAGACCAGGGCTTCTGAAAATGTTACCCGCTCATCAGTTATTGTTCTTAAGGGATAACGGCTCATAGATCTTTCTCTATGTTTCCCAGCCTTTCCTTTTTTTCAATTCATCTTCTCAGTACAAGTTTTTTTGTTTTTGGTTTTTTTTTTGCCATTTTTTTCTTAACATGCACAGTGTACAAACAAGGCATTAAAAACACTGAAAATCACTTCCACTCTGTATTTAATGTCAAATCATTTGACAACTCTCATTTAGGACAAAGGTGAGACAAACACCTTTGGGGGTCTTTGTTGTTGCTTTAACCTTTGCCTTCACTATCTGGCTATCAAAATGAGGGGTGAGTTGGGTGCAGAATTTGAAAGACTACCATCATCCACCTCTTTCATAGACGTTTTGCAACCTAGCTTTTAAAAGCAGGGCTAAGTCTAGAAGGACCCTTTCTAATTTGAAAGACCGATTTAACAGGGAAAGGCTTTGAGATTGAGCCATCTGGGCTCTTAATATTTAATTCCAGAGCTCTGTTTTAGCACAATGTGATACCCTCCTTGCACACGTGTGTACATCTTTCTTGGCGAAATAATAATCAAAATAGTCCACACTGCCGAAATGTTAGGATGAAAAGAGAGAAGAAATCTCACGCTAGCACAAGGTGCCAGACTCCTTCGGAAAGAGTCCTGGGGACAGAAAAGGGATGAGCTCCTTCCCTGAACACAGAGAGACGGTTGTAGAACTATCTTCCTTTTGTTGGAGGTAGGAATCTGAAGATCTAACTTGGGAACCAGTTTTTTACTCCTAGAGACTCCTTCCCCCCAAAGAAGCCTGTGGGGTTTGGAAAATTTACTAGACAGAAATTATGGACAGTGCCAGCACCAAGGATTTTCCACCCGTGCCCCGAGGAGGTGCTGACAGTGGCTTTCTACACAACTTGGATTTGGTGATTTCTGGCAAGTGGCTAGGGCAATTTTGTGTATTAACCAAAGAGCTGAGCTCCCCAACCAGAACCACGTTCTACCAAGCCAGAAAAGTTTCCTGGGAGATCCTGATTCCAGGGACGTTGCTGTGGACCCTTCCTTTGAGGTGTGCGTATTCAAGAGATCCTCTTGCCTCTTGCAGCCCCTGTCCCCTCTTGCTAAAGATAGCTGTCATCTATCACTGGGAACATCCGCCCCTCCAACTGCTGCCTCAGAAGGCTGGAGCGGACTGCACTGCCCCGGGGCGGAATGGGGAGGCCAGCGTTTTTACCCAGTGGAATCTGGGGACTCCTGTCCTTGCCCAAAACTACTTCTTTCCCCGCCTCTTCCCGGGAAGTACCCAAATCTCTTCCACTCTTCCTTTGAGCTGGCCAGGGAGATTCCACCATCCAAGGACAGAGTGCGATCTCCACAGGCCCGGCATCTACCCCGGGACTCTGCAGCAAATCTGACATTCAAGGCCGCGCGCGCCGGTCCTCGCCCCGCCCCGGTCCTGGTCCCGGCTCATTCATTCCGGGCCGGTCCCCACGCTCCAGCCCGCGCCGCGCTCCAAGCGCCGCTTCCCCGGGCAATGCCTGCCGCTCACATCGTGCCCAATCCCGTATTGCTTCTAAATCTCACAAGTAACGTCAAGAGGGTTTTTCTTCCCCTCCACCCCGTCGGACTCTTCTTCACACCTCCACCGGTGCCCTTTCGATGAAAAGAAACGCAGCGTCTGCCTCCCGCATCTCCAAAGGGTTAAGCAGCTAGCTTCGCCAAAGAAAAATCAATCCCCTGCCCACCATCCCACCCCCAGCCGAGCCACCGCTCCGCCACCGTCTCCGAGGCCCGGCGCCGACGTCTCCGCGTCCCCATCCGGGATGAGGGGCCACCCTCCCCCCCGCCCCGCCCGCCCGCTCCCCGCGGGTCCGCAGAAAAGCCCCCTCACCCTTCGGTGGATGCCATGGTCCGGGGAACGCCCCCTCCTCTTCGGCACGGTCCGGCGGCGGCGGCGGGCGCGGCGTGAGCGCCGGAGAGTGGCGGAGCGCGCTATTTAAGGGGGAGCCTCTCCCCGCCTCCCACCCCCCTCCCGGGTAAGCCCTTTAGCGCCTCAGCCCGCGCGGGAGGCTCCGGCGGGCGCTAAGCCCCGGCTGGGCTCTCCTCCGCGCGCGTCCCGCCTCGCCGGCGCTCGGCGGGGCGCTCGGGGGGCGCGGGGCGCCGCCGCCGGACCGTGCCGAAGAGGAGGGGGCGTTCCCCGGACCA